AAGGCCTTGAGGAGGGAGAGAGGGTGGGAAACACGGGCGGGGGCGGCGGGCGAGCTGGGCTGCGGCTCAAAGAAGTGGGGGATATAATAGGACCCCCGTATCCGAGGGGGAAGGGCAGGCAAGGCCCCCGCGGGTGCTGGAAAACCGCGGATTGTAGCGAACGCCACACCTAGCATGGTCTTGGCTCCCCCTAGGGGCCAGTTCTGGTAACCTCATCTTCGTGTGTGTGTCTGTGTGTGTACATGTATACCTTTGTATACATACATATATATTTGCGTCTGTGTATACGCATGCATGTATGAATGAATATGTATACGTATATCCTGTTTCCCCCAAAATAAGACCTAACCTGAAAATAAGCCCTAGTAGGATTTTTCAGGAGGCTCGTCATAGAAGCCCTACCCCAAAAATAAGCCCCAATTAAGCGAAACCCCGACCTCCGCCCTTGTGCAGCAACCAGAAAATGATGACATGACTGTAAAATAAAACATCCCCTGAAAAGAACCCCTAATGCGTTTTTTGGTGCAAAAATTAACAGAAGACCCTGTCTTATTTTTGGGGAAACACAGTAGGTATGTATGTGTATATAGATAGATGTTTGTGTGTGTATGTTTACATGCACGTATGCATACATATATATACAGTACATGTGTATCTACACATATGTGGGAAAGGGACAAGTTGGGAAGAAAGGGAAGGAGGTGATGGAAAACGGGGGGGACAATCTGGGACAATATAATAATGATCATTGGTGGCAGACAACAGCAAGTTCACAGGCACAGGAAAGAAAGAAAGAAAAGGTTACTGGAAGCAGGATTACTCTGGTTAATTTGGTATGATTTGCTTTTTTTATTCTGAGGCTTTCCGTCCCACTTTTCACTCCTAACATTAAAGTGGGGGGTGGGCTTGTCACAGGGAAGAGCAAGGAAAAGGCTGTGTAGTTCCCAAGAGTACAGAGATGTCAAAGTGGGTGATATATTTTGTTGAACCACTAAATAAATAAATCAAGCAACTTTGCAGCGTTTGTGCAGAAAACTCTACTTCTCCAGACCAAGCACAACCCTTTCATGGGTCATGCAGCAAAATTGTAGACAAGAGCCCAAAAAGTGGTGGTACATGCCTGTGTGTGTGAGAGAGGATGTCAGTCCTTTTGCTTGTTTGTACACCACCCAGAATACCATGAATTCACTAATCGGGCAGTACATATACTGAATAAAAAATAAATCTCATAGTGGTGTACGTGAGATTGCAGCAATGCCTGGTAGCGTGACAAGGGAGATAACAGGCGGAATTTTATATGACCTTGGCAGGTTTGTATGTGTTTGTTCATCTCTTTTTGAGTGTGTTGTCATTTGTTGTATGTTAACACTGGAATGTTTTTCATTACAGGTGACATACAAATGGTTGAGCTATACATTAGGTGTTCACGTCAACCAAGCCAAGCAGTACGTATTGATGATCCTATACCTCCTATACATTCAGGGCTTGACAAAGCGAAGCCCTTCAGATGTTGTTGGACTGCAGCCCCTTGTCAGCTATAACTTACCTAAACAGTGGTTAGGCGTGCCGGAAGATGCAGGCTGTGTTTTGTCTCCCTGTTCTGTACCCGGAGCAGTGGATGAAATCTGAACATGGTTTTCTCTGAGGACTTAACACTCTCTGAGATTTGAAAGATGATTTACTCTCCGTGTCCACCTGACATGTCACCTTTAGGCATCTGTGTCAGTGTAGTCTTTCTTCATTTAAGAAGTGTTTTTTGGGAAGAGTTTTAAAAATTTCCCCTTCCATCAACAAATTGTGCACACCCTTAAAAATAAAATTTGGGTTCTTCAGTTTTTGTTTTCTGTTCTTTCTGTCTCTGACGTCTGGATGGAGAAAAGAGAAAACTCTGCCTTTGCTGTGTTTAGCCCATCTGGTTAGACTCTGACTCAAACTTCCCACATATGTCTTTCAAGTTTAGTATGCAGTGACTATGTGGAGAATACAGAGACACTCAAGTGCTGTGAGATGCTCTGAATCTTTACACCTTCACCAGTGAGAGCATGAGGCTCAGGTGGTCTTTGGGGGAAGAATACTACAAAAGGATTGAGAGGCTTTCTCTGTGACCTTTATCTGAAGGGGGGGGAGCCCTCAATGTGTAAGTTCAGACTTTATGAAAGAGAGAGAGAGAGAACTAGTTAAAATATTTGAGCCTTTTCTATAGTTCATATTTTTCAAAAGCCAGGGGCACATGAGTACGTTACTTTTTGTTAGTATATTTACTTTTTTCCTTGGTATGGTATAAAGCTATTTTTGGTCTGCAAAACCAATTAGACAGATTGTTAAAAATCCTTTGATTGAGTTGCTTAAACTTTCCATATGGGCTTTGTTTTGTTTCATTTTGCTCTTGGAGTTATGGCCACTTGGTTGATGTTCTGGGTGGTTTTCATGTCTGATAAGCTTAAGTTCCATAGGCCTCTGCAATTTTTTTTCAGTTGTAAATTTAGGAAAGACGATCTTTGGAGGTAAATATGGAGACACTGTTCATGAAACATACATAACAGTGTTTTGAAAACTTTGGGGAGATAGCTGAGGGAAATTTGCTGATACGGCCTTCACCCTCACTATTTGTTATGACTCTTCTATATTTTATATCATGTGCTGTCAAGTCTCATCCAACTTATGATGACTCTAATTCAAGATATATGAGATATTTAGGGAGTGGTTTTCCCATTGTCACTCAGCCCTTGTGGGTTTTTGTAGCCAAGCAGGGGTTTGACCTTAGGTCTGTTGAAGAAATTTGCTGATACGGCCTTCACCCTCACTATTTGTTATGACTCTTCTATATTTTATATCATGTGCTGTCAAGTCTCATCCAACTTATGATGACTCTAATTCAAGATATATGAGATATTTAGGGAGTGGTTTTCCCATTGTCACTCAGCCCTTGTGGGTTTTTGTAGCCAAGCAGGGGTTTGACCTTAGGTCTGTTGAAGCCATGGGATGTGGGTTTTTGTAGCCAAGCAGGGGTTTGAACCTAGGTCTGTTGAAGCCATGGGATGTTTTAGCTCTGTGGGTCAAACCGCAGAAGCACTGTGCTGCAAGGTCAGAAGACCAGCCGTCGTAAGATCAAATCCATGCGATGAAGGGAGCTCCCGTCGCTTGTCCCAGCTCCTGCCAGTCTAGCTGTTTGAAAGCATATAAAAATGCAAGTTAAAGCATGTAAAAATGCGAGTTGATGAATAGTCACCACCTCGGTGGGAAGGTAACGCCGTTCATGTCTAGTCACGCTGGCCACGTGATCACAGAAACTGTCTTCGGACAAAGCGCTGGGTCTATGGGTTGGAAACAGGGATGAGCACCGCACCCTGGAGTCGAACACGACTGGACTAAACATCAAGGGGAACCTTTACCTTTACCTGTCGAATCCTAGTCCATCACTCTATGCATCACGTTGGCTTTTAGTGCTTTTCTTAGTGCCTGACTTATGCAACTACATTCGTAAGATTTAACCCTGATAGCTTTTAAAAGCACTTATTTGTTTCAGGTGGGAGAGACATAGATAACCATCTCCTAAACCTGAAATCACTAATAATCACAAGAGGGTCTTTTAAAAAGAATCAATGTTATATCATTTCCTGTCATCATTAACGGCTTGTCTCTTGCAGAAGAGGTAGGTGTGTGTATATCATCCACCTGTTTTGCAAGACACAAGCAACAAACGCTCAAGCTTTACAAGGGGTGGCAAATTATACAACATGGGTTCTTTTAAAAAGACCCTCTGACTGGCGTTACCAAGATTCAGTGTGTGGCATTAAGGCTATTTTCTCACCACCAGCAGATGAAGAGATAAACTGTTTCTTGGCTATAGCATGGAGGCAGCTCCTGTTGAGTGATTGAAGCTGAATTGCTGAACATTCCTTCATACAAAATGTTCCTTATCTGGAAAGAATGAAATTTCAGGAACAGATCAGAACCCTTCTTCCTGAAGTCTTGCTTTTGATGTAATGAAGAGATAATTTTTGGGTGGTGCAGTATCCACTAACGTAAACTACTGTGGCCGTAGCACCAAGAGGTGCTCCTCCAGGAAATAGTTTGCAAGTTTTTCTGATGTTTATGAGAAGAGGAGAAACGAAAACCTTTTCAGCTGTTTTTACTTTGAGCTGAAAAGCATGAGCTAAATCACATGTGCCTGGATCAGTTCCTAAAGTAAACTGTTTCTAAGTTGTTAACCAAAGACTGCGGTGGTTATACTTTTCCTAGTATCTGTCTTCTCTTGCACACAGGATGTTATATGAATATGTGGAAAGAAAACGGAAGGAGAATTCTGGAGCCCAGTTGCATGTCACCTATCTGGTGGCAGGAAACCTCATCCAGAATGGACACATAGTAAGTACTCTGCTTCTTCTGCAGCAAAAAATAAATAAAAAAAAATGGTGACGGTTGCCCCAGACCTCAGGAGCAAACCAGTCCAAGGGGGAAAGCAAAAAAGGAATACTGGTACGAACGAAATGACTGACCCGGTAGCCACCAGCTGTGAAGCACTGCTGTGGAACCATCTTCATTCCAATAGTCTGCGTCAGAGCTGCAGCTGAGTGTACAGACCAAATAACAGGAGCTTTCAGTACAGTGGGGTCTCTACTTAAGAACGTCCCTACTTAAGAACAATTCCACTTAAGAACAGCTCCATTTGCTAAATTTTGCTTCTACTTGAGAACAGAAATCCAAGATAAGAACAGGAAAAAAAAACTTTCCTGCTCTTTTTTTAACCTTAGGTCATCTTAGGTTAAAAAAAGTTCTCCCCCTAGTGGTAGAGTACGTATTAACCAGCTTTGCATTAGTTCCTATGGGAACTAATGCTTCAATGTACGAACGCACCTCTACATAACAAAAAAACAGCCAGAACGGATTAATTGGTTTTCAGTCCATTGCTTCAAAATTAGCTTCCTCAGAAGTGCTTTTAACACTGTTCCCTGACCTAAGGGAAAAAAAAGAAAAAATATCCCCCTCTAGTGGTAGAAGGCGCAATAGCAGCTTCCCATTAGTTTCTATGGATGGAAAAGAGCAGATACAGATTAAATGGTTTTCAATGCATTCCTATGGGAAATGCAGATTCTACATAAGAACTTTTCCACTTGAGAACCACCTTCCAATATGGATTAAGTTCTTAAATAGAGACCCCGCTGTAGTGAAAAAAATAAATGTGGACTAGGATGGTCAAGCCTCATAACTTCCTGTGGAAAAAAAAGAGGGGACGCTTGCCGGACACTGGGTGGAAGAGAACAGAAGTCACCTCTATGTTTGGTAACCATTTGGCCACTCTTGAGTCTGGTTTAGAAAACGAATTGGCTAATTCTTTTTTCTTTGCATGAGTTGCCAGTTGTGCTCTGTGTACCAAGGGTACGACCTTTCCATCCTCTCTGGAGAAGTTCTAAATATCATAAAGCCTTATCAGTAGAGATGTATCATAATTAGCACTGCCTCTGTTAGAAGAGTATGTGGAACAGGTTGTTCTGGTCGCGTTATCTTGTAGACTGAGGGACTGTGCAAATTGAAATGATAGATTAGTTCCTGTCCTGTTCAGTGACCAGCAGAGGGTGGTGCTATCCTGCCAGAACTGCTCAGTAAAATGATTTTGATCTGTGTAGAAAACAGTGTTTCCCAACCTGGAGGTTGCAAAATGTTTTCTGGGGAGTCGTGGGTCACCTTATATGTAGCCCTTGTTAAATAATTCTTTAATTGACCTTGTGGAGCCAGATATTAAAGTTTGCTCCTGCCAACCTAGCAGTTCAAAAGCATGCAAATGCGAGTAGATAAATAGGGACCACCACAGTGGGAAGGTAATGGCATTCCGTGTCTAGTTATGCTGGCCACGTGACCAAGGAAACTGTCTTCAGACAAACGCTGCCTCTACGGCTTGGAGACGGGGATGAGCACCGCCCCCTAGAGTTGGACTTGACTGGACTCAATGTCAAGGGGATGTCACTCCCAGGCACCGGGACATGACTGGACTAAATGTCAAGGGGATGTCACTCCCAGGCATCTAGTCATCTTAGGGCCCACCTGTCCCATTGAGAGAATGTGATCCCTGTAGAAGGAATAAAAGCCATGGTTCCATGGGGAAAAGGTAAATGTAGGGGTGACTTGTGGCCATCTATGGCACGTCTCTAAGTATGGGACAAGTTACCCTCTCCTGAAAGAGGTTCTTCTTTCAACCTTTGCTGTTCGTGGGTGTACTGAAAAGTGGATCGCTGGTCTGAAAAATAGGTAATCAAAATGGGTGTGTTCACATGCCATGTGGGAAGGCAAAAAGTGCCCCCCCTGCTATCCAGTATCATATACCTGTATCATGAATGGTGGGTTGGCATACCTCATACATGATGCAAAATCTGCTCACATGCCATGTGGGAAGGCAAAAAGTGCCCTCCCTTGCTATCCAATATCATATCACTGTATCATGAATGGTGGGTTGGTGTACTTCATACATGATGCAAAATCTGCTAACTGAGCTAACTCGGCTGGCTGGGTGAGAACATTAATGCCATTTATTTTCATGTCTCCTTGATTTTTTTTAAAGTTCCCCCAAAGATAAATAGATTTGGGGGAAATGGAATGGAGGCTGAGACTGGGTTTCTTGGAAACGCACCTTACTGAAACCTTTATTATATGATTATATTTTGAAGAGACCCTTGTCCAGCAGGCTGAGGCCAAGAGGCCGTCCCGAAACCAGCGAAATCAGGGAGTTGGACAGGGGACAGATTGTATTTGTCTTCAGTGTGGAAGGGATTGTCACTCTTGAATCAGCCTCCTCAGCCACACTAGCCGCTGTTCCAAGTCCTCCATTCGGAGCACGTGACCATCGTCTCTTGAGACTGAAGGATGCCTAATCTAATCTGTTATATGTTAAACATGTCAAGAATCAGACTTGTAGATGTACTTGTTGTTGGGACAGTGAAAATCTTCTCTCGAGACTGAAGGATGCCTATCTAATCTAATCTATTATATGTTAAACATGTTAAGAATCAGACTTGTTGATGTTGTTGGGACAGTGAAAATCCTTGGCTGCTTTAATATGCTCTCATTTCTTTATAGGGCCACAAGGTTGCAGTAGTGAAAGAAGATGAGCTAGATGGTAAGGCTAGACGGAAAGCAATACTGAGACCAGCAAAAGATGACCTGTATGTGATTTGCACAGGGCGTGCAGACAAAGATGTGGATGAATTTGTCTTGGGTTTCCTCCCCCGAGAAGGCTTGGGATCGGCCCATTTTTAAAGAGGCCAAACGTGTTGTTTGACAGCTGCTTTTGGAGATGGTCTTCTCTAGCATGGTTCCAAAATGTAAAAGATAAGATTTAATATTATCTTGGGGATACGGAATATAAATATGATGACATTGAGAATGGATGCAAAAGTGGTAGATTTGGTGACTTACCAGGCTTGGTGTTTCAAGGACAAAGGGGTTCTTAAGCTTTTGCTCTTTCTTCTGCCAGCTCTTTAGCTGAAAATTCCCTTTTCTCCAGAAATGTTTGACTTTCTGTGTTAAGTCATGTCTTTTTATTACGAGCTCTCTCTCACCTACCCTTCTCCCCTTGCTATTTCTTTTTTATGAGAGTTCTTCACTTATTAGGTCACTTTTAAAATCCTGTTTTTCAAAGACTTGTTTCATACGGGCTTGCATCAATTTAAAAAAACGCAGGACTGCTATCAGGCTTGGGGAGTGGGGGAAAGGCAAGACAAACAGATGAGGAAGAAAAGAAAAAGAAGAGAGAGAAGTTTTTCAAGCAGCTTAAAGATTTCTTTTTTAAAAAAAACTACAGATCACATGTTGCTTTCCACTACCATCAACATGAAGATCTTTGTGGCAGGGACCAACTTATTTCTCTTTTTATGTGATTGTGAAACAAAAGCATATCCTGATTATGATGTTTAAATAAGTAATTGAGTTTTACATCTTGAAACAATGCTTCCAAATGCCAAAATCAGAATAACACAAATTCTGGCTGCAGAGGCTGATGAATTGAAACAAGAGTTTGTGCCTCTTGGCAGGCTGCAGAGGGTTTGAGGTTGCCGCTGGAGGGATTCAGCGTAAGAAAGGGCATTTTTTCATTATGTACCTCTTATGTAACTTGCCCTAACCCCAAAAGCTGGGGAAGGAGAATCATTAAAGGTGTATAAAGATGCTGAGGACAGAAGACCTGGAATTACCTGAAACTTGACAGTCCACATCCCTCTGCTAACTTCAGCTCTTATCGTCTGGATCCTTAGTCCCTATTCTTGCCCAATCCCAGTTTGCCTCCAGCCATTCCATTGACAACAGCTCTTTTTGAATTTTGGGGGGGGGCCTTCCCCCCCCCCCCCACATTCTCACTGAGAAACCTTACTGAACCACCTGATTTCTCCTTGCCACTTTTCTTGAAGTGCTTGTTTGGAGAAAGGCTCCCCTCCTAGCTGCAATTGAAGGGGAATGTCTGCTCTTGTTTGAGCTGTTCTTCTCTTATCTCCTTGTTACTGAAAGGTTCTCCTGCCTTTGCTAGCTCCCTCCCTCCCTTCCATCCTTTCTCATGTTGAGCACATCCCATTTAGAACAAAGTCATCTGTCTTCTCTCAGAACTGTGAGAAGTGTCGGATCCATGCTTTGGATCCTGACCCTTGGCTTGCTTTCTGTAGTGCTTGAGAGATGAAATTCCACAGAGCACTTAGACTCATAGAAAAGTGAAGTTGGAAGGGGCCTACAAAGGCCATCAATTTCAACCCCCTGCTCAAGGCAGGAATACAATCAAAGCACTTCTGGAAGGACTGCATAATGGCCGTGGCGCTCTTGCCTTAGCTCCGGACTTGGAGACATGGTTGTACAGGACTGCCTGAGCACAGAGGACTCTTCCTAACCCCCCCTTGTGCGTGGCAGAAGCACTCTTGACAGCCTCAGAAGCTCAGCATGACCCTAAGATCACAGCCCCGCACCTTGCATTCACAGCATTTCTCCAGCGACCAATGCTAGCTAGAATCTGCAGATTCCTCTGTGTGAGTGCTTTCTGCAAGAACGGGTCATTCGGCCCCTCGTGGGCATTGTCTTCAGGCATGATCCAGAAGGGAGATCATCTGAAATTGTAGCCAGCTACTGCTGAGGTGAGCCAGACTTTCCACCAAACGTTTGCTGTAAGCAGACCATCCTTTGTGGGATCCGATAGGCCTTGGCCAAAGTCCCTTGGCTGCAAACTCTCGGATTGTTATGACAGGGCTAGCATTTCTTCATCTCCGGGGCCAGGCGTACAGCTAGACATTTTGACTGCAAGTGGTTTTGTAGCCATAATTTGGCTGTGCGGTAGACCGTCTTGCATTGAGTGCTTTCTGACAGCCAAAACACGTATCTGCCAGAAGTGAGGATATTTAAGAACCATAGTCCTGGGTAATGAGTTTAACTAGCCAGGAATAATGCATGCTTCTCTCGTTAAGGTTCCTTCCATTCAGCTTTGGGTATTTTTGTGACTGTGTCTTCATTATCTCACCTATAAGAAGCTCTCATTCATCGTGAACTTCCTTTGTTTTGAGTACTTCTAGCCTGGGATCTTGCTTGGTATTTTCTTAAGCTTGTTGAAATCAGCTTTCTTTAAGTCCAGAGTTCTTGTTCCACTTCTCTCCACTTTCCTTTTTTGTCAGAACAACAAATCTCAATGAGACTATGGACTCTTCCACCAACAGTTCCCACTATTTCCGCCCCACAACCTGGATCTGATCTTAATTAAAATCCCATTTTTTCATTGAGACTACCACTTTATGGAAGATTGAGTTCTTAAGTTTTTAGCAGTTTGAAAGCATGTAAATGTGAGTAGATAAATAGGTACCACCTGGGTGGGAAGGTCACGGCGTTCCGTGCCTAGTCGTGCTGGCCACGTGACCATGGAAACTGCCTATGCTCTACCCTCAGATAATGTCCCAAAGGTAACAGGCACAGGCTAGAACAAGTGTTAGCATAAGCATAGCAGCTATGAGTTTTGGGCTTAGCATAGCTCGCACCATCCTTCCTGTTTGTTTGTCCAAACTGCAGTTATGTGTATCAGTCCATCTGGGATTTAGCAAACTGATTTGTACCCAGTGTTTAAACTGTGTTAGCTTCCCCCAGCTGTGGAGAACAGAAAAGCACAAGTTAAAACAAGTCTTACAAAGGAGATAATTTCTTCTTTAGTTTTGAGGACCACCAGCAGATGCCAAATACTGGTTAAAAGATATAAGCGTTGAGCATTTTGAGTGGAGATGCACAGAAACCAATAAAATGTTCACAAGTTTATATTTGCATTTGAGGAAAGATGGCTTTTGTTCCTCATTGTGATCCCACGCATGGCTGTGGTCACATAACACGCCTGCAGACGGAGGCAAAGGGTGGCGCAAACTGTGTTTCACAGCAAGTGTCGTCCTCCAAACAGCACTTGGAAAAGTTACTATAATGGACTCTCGGTTCCCAGGGTTTCCCAGTCCATGCAGCCAGGCTCTGCCTCCAGCGGCCCACTGTCCACCAGCAGCCTCCTCTCGCCCTCAAGCTTGAACTAGCCCAGTGTGGAACCGACACCTGTCAGAAACAGCTCTTTCCTTCACAGACCTTCTGTTTCCATTTCAGCCATGAAGTCAAAGCTCTCCACGGTGGCCAGCGTACATGTTTACAGCGTCCAGAAAGCCATGCTGAAGGACAGCAGCCCGCTCTATAGCACCGACTACGATATTATCAAAGCGAACCTGCAGAAATGCAGCCAGTGAGTTTTGGCCGGATGACATACCTGTTGTGTGTTCGCGTGAGCTCAGTTCTATTTACCTTTGTTTCAGGGCGTGTCTGTCCTGAAATTGATCTTCAGTACCCATACCATATTCTTACAGGTGTGCCCCTCCTGGGACCTTGATTTCCCCCCCCCCTTCCCATAGGAAACAATTTGATCTGTTCTCCCCACACCAAACACACACCGCAGTGCTGATATTTACGGTCACAGGCAGTTCTGAACGTACACTAAGGGGACCAAGTTTTTGCCTTCTGTGCTTCTGACTGAGATTGTTCTGCACTGGATGGCTCAGTGGTTTAGGGATCTGGCTGCAGGGCCAGAGTTTGGGAGTTTAGTCTTGGCAGGGGCTGGACTTAGGATACTAGAATTAGCTCAGTGGTTTAGGGATCTGGCTGCAGAACCAGAGTTTAGGAGTTTAGTCTCCCATAGTGCCTCCTTGGCAGGGGCTGGACTTAGGGTCCTAGAATTATGGGAAGGGACCTCTTAAGGCCATCCAGTCCAACCCCCTGCTCAAGGCAGGAACCCAAGTCAAAGCAGATCCGACAGACGGTAGTCCAGTTTTCTCTTGAAGGCCTCCAGCACTGGAGCAATCGCTTGTGATCCATAGGGTCCCTTCTAGCCCTTCCAGCTCTGCAGTTCTAAGGATGATGGTGATGATTACTGAGAAGCCATCCCCATTTAACAAAGTTAATACTGAAAGGTATTCTCTTTGATTCTTCAGTGCAGTGCTTGAACAAGTGATTATTAAAACCCTGCCAAACCCTATTTGAAGTAATATAATCTATTTTAGGCCTGCATTTGAATATACTAGCTGGAATTCTGTTGAGCATTTATGTGATCACTAGTGTAATGGTGCAAATGGTGGTGCTAAATTGCTGCTAACTAATGGGTTGCCACTCACAGTCTTGGTCTCATGTCAGTGGCATGTCTTGGCACACAACCAGGAATGCAAGCCATCACTTACTAACCAGTGGCCATTCGCTGTCACAGTTTGTGCTTTTATATATAAGTTAGTGCAATTTCCCAATCGGGTTCGTCGTTTCATTTTCAGCGAAACACAGTGTTATGTTAACGCCTCCGCCATTGCTGGTGTTGGTCACGCCAGTCCATCTTTAAAAGAGGGCCTAAAACAATTTTAAATAAAATAGTATAGAATCATAGTCAGGAGGACCCTCAATTGAGGAGAATAGTTTTTAATATATATTTAAGGGGCAGGACTGACGCGTCTCCCTCTGCTTCCATTTTACCCAGATCTACTGGAAACAGCATCAGGCACAGGAGGACAGAAGTAAAGCTAGATGATGAAACTTCCCAAGGCTAGTTAATTCATGCCTGCTTTTGTTCCCGATCCAGGTTTAGTGCCATTCACTGTGCTGCTGCCGTGGCCAGGACGGCGGCTGAAATGCCCCAGCCTGAACCCCCTGCACAGGTGGATTCTCAGCCGACACGTAGCACCAGTGCGGCCGCGGCTCCCGTGACGAATGGACATGCCCCAAGCACATCTTCCAAGCACACCTCCCAGCAAGCCAGTGGCATTATGGGAATGTTTGCCGCTAAATCGGCTACCAAATCCCAGGACAAGCACAAAGAAGCTGAAGCGGAGGCGAAAGAGGCACCGAGTGTAAGTTTCCAATCTCCAAGCTGGTTTTTTATGAGACACTCTTCATCCTTGGGTCAGGTGAGGTGAGAGTCTGCTTGCCCCCGTGCTCTTTCCTGCAGCACCCCTCGGTTGTTTTTTTTTTTTTTTTAAAGAGTCGTTTTTGGTGGATTGTGGCCTTGGGTTTCTCCTAAGGATCTTCCTTCTTTTCTTCCAGGTCCCCGCGACCAGCAGCAAGGCACCCGCTAAAGGAAACGTGTTGAACAACTTCTTTGGAAAGGCTGCTCTGAGTAAGGATTTTAAATCCATCTCTCACCTTCCCCGTGCCAAGAACCCCTGGCAGCCCATGGCAATGTTTGTTTAGATCCTTGGCTCTCTGGGACTTAGGGTCAGTTCAGAGGGAGTGAAATGAACAACTTGTACCTAAATGTATCTGTTCAGAAGTGAAATCTCACTGAGCTCAGTGGATTCTTCCTGGCAAAGTTGGGTTTGTATACATGGCATGATTAGAATAAGCTGTGCTATTTCACGTTGCAAAAAAAAAAAAATTGGGATTCAAATGCTCTTTATATGTTCTTGGGTCAAATAAATGAAGGGCAAGTAGAAAACAGGTTGGAAAGGCTAGGGCTGGGAACCCCTTGCATGATGTGTTCCTTTTAAACTGAACAGGAATTTTTAAAATAAAGACGGCACAATATTTATTTTCAAGAAAGGTGATCATCGCTGACTTTTCAAAGTGATGTGGTCTTTTTTTACTACCTTGTTCTGCTCCACATGTAGACTTCGATTTTAGTCTCATCACATCTCGGAATTGCTTTCTTTTTTTAATCTGGAAGTCCTAGAATCTCTCTTTTTTTAATTTATTTTGTCCAAAGAAGTAATATTTCAAAGCTGTAAGCTTTAGGGTGCCATCGGACAGCTGGAAAGGCACCACCCGTCTAGTTGCACCTGAAAGGGTTGCTTTGCAAGGCGCAAATTCCCTTAAAGTGATTTTTTTTGTCCACATCGATCCATTGTGCCCCCCCAAAAAAAAAGTAGAAGCCCTACTACTGGACCAAAAAGGCCCAGCTTGGACATGGATCTGGCCCGGGCTGGAGCACTGTTCCCCATGTGTTGTGTGGTTGCCAGGAAAAAGATTGCACCAAACTGCTCCAAAAGCGGTCAGAAACACGATCTTGTTTCCCTGTGCAATTCCTTGGTCTGCCTATAAAATGCCAAGTGTTGAAGGGAGACATGGACCCCTTGGTTTCTGTGGAATTCCTGGAGAATTCAGGAACTGGCATAAAGGTTGGTCACTTTTGGAATTGTTGACTTGAGCTGATGGTGTCAGACAGCTTTACATAGGCTTTTCCTTCCTGACTGGCTGATGGTTGTACCTTATTGCTTGGAATTAGTTTTGGTCTTGCTTTGGTTTACTGTTTTTTTAGTGTAGTCTTTGTTTGATATTTTTTAACATTTGTGTACATACTGTTAGCTTTAAATCTTGCCTTTTAGTGATGTAAGCCACCTTGAGCCCTTTTTTAAAGGGAAAGGCTGGGTTGAAATATTTTAAATAAATAGATCTGGTGCAGCTTGTAGCTTTGAGTATCCTCAGAGGATAAGAAGCAACTCATGGGGAGTTCAGAATTACCTCTTCCTCCTGGTCCATGATAAGGTAGCCTTTCCTTTTTGACTTGTGTGACAGGCACAGGGAAAGGCCGCTCCGAGTCTCAGCAGCAAAGGGAGGAGAAGGTGGCAGCTTCTTCAGTGGAACCCAGAATGTCCTCTGATGCTCCAGATCTTGAGAGACCCAGAAAAAAGGCTGAACTTTCCAAAGTCCACCAGAAGGAAAAGAAAAGGTACCATAATTGACATCTCGGGCCATACCTTTACTGGAATCTGCCAAAATGCCACCAAAAAAACCCTGGAGGCTTCTGAATTTTCCAGAACTTTTTCCGCCTAGAGTGGTCACAATTGACTAGATGGGGGGGGGTATAAAATAAATAAATAAATAAATAAACTTAGCTCAGTGGTACCAAACATGTGTAGTTTTAGAAGAAGTAGCCGTGTTGGTCTGTGCAAGTAGATAAGGCAAAATCCAAAGAAATAAAACAAAACAAAAAGACAAAAACGTGGCAGATTTGGTCGATACCTACAGCGAATGAGGCACGGGGCAGACACCTGTCATGCCAATATGGAGCCGTGTATTTTGGTCAATCCCTACAGAAATCCCCCGCAGGACTGGAAGAAAGGATCGGCCATTCTGTATAATTACAGAGTTCAATTTGCAGCCATTGTACTTTATTTACTTTTAATTCTTTCCCCACCTGACAGGCAAAAAAAAAATCTATCTGTAGTGCCATACAGTGGTGCCTCGCAAGACGATGTTAATTCGTTCCGCAAAAATTGCTGTCTTACGAAAACACCGTATTGCAGAATGAAAAAGCCCATTGAAATACATTGAAACCAGTTCAGTGCGTTCCAGTGGGCTGAAAACTCACCGTCCAGCGAAGATCCTCCATAGGGGCGTCCTGAAAACACAGCGGGGAGCCATTTTGCACAGCGGGGAGCCATTTTATAACCGCAGATCAGCTGTTTCTAAATAATCGTTTAGCAAAAACTCGGTTCCCGAAGCAGGGAACCGATAATCGTTAAGCGAATTTTCCCCATAGGAACATCATTTTGCGATTGCAAAAGCGATAGCAAAAATTTCATCATAAAGCGGTTTTGTCATTTAACGAGGCAATCGTTAAGCGATGCACCACTGTATATGTTAGTGATGAATAGCCTAGGCAGGTCCCTGTTGCGTGGGTCCTTTTTTTTCACGTGACCCCCCCCCCCGCTCCAGATGAAGCTAGCTATCCCCGTGGTTTTTATTCCCAAGACCTGGAAAGGAAAGTGCCTTTTAGTCGAAGAGCCAAGGAGCTGTACGGCTGATAATAGCGTCTGCTTTCCAGGCTCAGTAGCTGGCACCTCCCCGTCAAAGCTGAATGGAGCATTTGATACCTTCTTTTCTCACTAGCAAAAGATATAACCATCTGGTTGGGTAGCTCATGGAGGTGGAAATCCCCCTGTGGTGCCAAAAGGGTGGGAATTCTCTTTCCCTGCTGTGACTCCTTCGAATAAAGCCACCCTGGGTGGCCTTGAGTGAGCTGCACACAGTTCCAGGGCACCCCTAGAAAGAAGGAAGGGAATGGTAAACCCCATCTGAGTAGTCTTTATCTAGAAAACCCTGCAAAGGCTCTTCATAAGTCAGAACTGACTTGACAGGATACTATTATTATTAAAAAATATAGTCATGCTAAAAATATATTATTTAACAGCCGCTCCAGAATTCTGAGACACTGCCCCCTAGTGGGGAGTTCTGTTAGAAGAGTATTGAGTCACTGTCAGGGTAAAACTGTGCTTGGGGTCAAGCACTTTGTTTATTTATTTTTGGTCCTCTGGGCAGGAGGAGAACCATCGGCAGCAGGGACGTTACCTCTTTTGAATTTTGCATCTGCGGTGCTTTCAGCTTTCATGCCCTACTCTGTTGTTACAAAGGCCCCGAGCAAGGTTATATCATTTCAGAGAAATCATAAATAAATGGTTGTCCATTGGTCTGCTGTCTCTTTCTGGGAAAATGCGATGTTTCCTTCTCTGTTTCCTGCATGGCCAATACCCATTTTGGCTGGGATTCCCTAGTTCTTACGAGACATGGCACATGCCAGTACTACTATACAGTATCATCCTGGAAACCTGACTTCCAAGCTGCAGTCTTGTTTCCAAGTCCTGGCTAGTTCTCTGTAGATGCAAACACTGTACACAGAGAAGTTTCATCTCATTGTAGGGCGGCACATACTTATGTATAGTTTTTAAACTGCAACCTTGTCATGGCCCATGTAAAGTACCCTTCAGATCAATTCCACCAAGAAGAGTGGAATTTCAAGGGTGTGCGGATGACTTTGCATAAGGATTTGGTACAAGCCGTCGTCTTTGTTTACAGGCAGCCGATGTGAAAAATGCTGCATTTGTTCTAAATTACTGAGCAAAGTTCCTGTTCTAGGATCTTCTCGCACCCCAGAAGTACATTTGCGATGGCCCATCTATTCTGTTTGCTTCCTTTTATTTTTTTATTTTCACAGAGCAAAGAGGGTGGAGAGGTCAGACAGTGAGGAGAAAGAGGCTGAGACTCTGAAGAAGAAGAGACGTCGAATCAAACAACCTGAATCTGACAGCAGCAATAGTGAGGGTGAGTGGAAATCAGTTTATTCCACGACTCTGCCAGGTTTTTAATAGTCTGAATACATCTTAGGCTCTTTGAAAAGGAACAATGGCAATTATAACACTCCTCTGCCCCCAGAGGCTGGCTTCTCTCTCCTTGTTCAGTCTTGTTAAATGGCCAGGAAACATGCCTGTCACAAAATTGTCCCTTGAGATGGGATTTTTGGATCTTCTGGACTTTAGTCATTAAATCACGTCCGACTCTTCATGACCCCATGCACCAGAGCACACCAGGCCCTCCTGTCTTCCACTGCCTCCTGGACTACAGCTCCCATAATTCTCTCTTCTGAGAATCCTGTCTGCCTTGCAGTCACGTCGGTGTGATCCACATGGAAGAAAAACCTGCCTTAGGAAGCTTTGAGGCTTAGCTAAGCCAAGCCTCCCTGAGCTTCCTTCTCAGAACAAAAGTTTCCAGCTTGCACTGGACCAGGACAGGGAGCTTGGGCAAATCATGATAATAACAATAATTTTGGAATTGAACAAGTAGGAAAGGTGAACAAAATGAGGATCCAACAATCCAGTGAAGGGGAGAAAATTGAGGCTTCTAATGGATCCAAAGTGGCTTGCAGTATTAAAACAACAGAGTTAAAAGGTAAATAATCATTACAGTGTTTTTTTAAAAAAAAGCATTAGATGTCATATTAAAATTTCACAAATAAAAGCGCTATTAAAAACAAAAGTAAAAGAACAATAAAACCACTTTAAAAAGTCCCTGTGGTCAACCCACCATTGAATTGTCATTAATATCGTCAGCGTGGGGGAAGCAGAAGGAAACACAATCGGGTAGGACAGTGTTGGTTGCCCCAGGGTGGCTAAGAATGCCCAATGATCACTGATAGTTGATCTTGAGGGCCTCATCCTGTGCATCACAGAACGGGATTTCAGTGAACCTCCTTATCTCGATTATGGCTTTGCTCATGCCCATCTGCAACTCCTTGTCTAGAACCACCTGGGTACAAAGGGTCCTGCTTGCTTTGGCAGGCAAGGGGTGCTAGCTTGCCTGCCAAAGAGGCAGCTCTTGCTTGATAGGTAAAGGTTCCCCTTGACAATTTTTGTCCAGTCGTGTCCGACTCTAGGGCTCTGTGCTCATCCCCGTCTCCAAGCCATAGAGCCAGCGTTTTGTCCGAAGACAATCTTCCGTGGTCACATGGCCAGTGCGACTTAGACACGGAACGCCGTGACCTTCCCACCGAGGTGGTCCCTATTTATCTACTCGCATTTGCATGCTTTCGAATGGCTAGGTTGGCAGGAGCTGGGACAAGCGAGGGGAGCTCCCTCCGTCACGTGGATTCGATCTTACGATGGCTGGTCTTCTGACCTTGCAGTGTAGAGGCTTCTGCGGTTTAACCCACAGCACCACCATGTCCCTTGCTTGATAGAGGCCACACCTGCTATAGGCTCTCCGGTAACCTTACAGGAATAGGGGTGGCAAACAGACTCCCATCCTCCCCATGCCATCCTCCTTAATCCTCTGGGAGTTTTCTTGCTTAGCTTGTGTCTGAGTCTTCTAAACCCGCAAGTGAATTTTCTAAGGTCCCTGTTGGGTATATGAAGATTTTAGTTCCCTCTCTCAACTGCTCTCTGCAGCTTCCTACTTCGAGGCTTAATCTTAGGAGACTGCCTGCTTAGAAAGGGTGCCTCCAGGTGCTATTGCCCATCTCGAGGTGTGATGTCTTCCCCCACCCTCTCTTCTGCTGCAGGGTTTTCACAGATCCCCTTCCCTAAGAACGCAGTTCATTTCCTAGCCATCGCAAGCAAGACAGCCTCTGATTTGATACCCCCAAATTAACCCGCAAAAGGTTGCTTGGCTTCACGCCTTGTCCAAATATAATTCCCAGTAGTGATCTAATAGGCTGGGCTGATTTCACTTCCTGGACGTGTGTTGTGACTACAGCATGAGCAAAAAATAAAATAATAAAATAATAAAAATATATTTTTTAAAAAAATACAGAGACGGAAGCCTGGCAGGGGACAGTGGGGAGGTTAGTCCCTGCTGAGCTTGCTAACCTTCTCAGGCTTCGCATAGACGTAGTCCTCCCTTGAACTCAGCAGGGCTCCTCTGCAACCTTTCAGGGCTACAGTCACTGGTGCTTAACATAGTTTCTGTGCCAAACTTGCTGGTGGTGGGGCATGTTGAAATGAGATCACAGAATTATAAGGCTGGAAGGATTGCCTCTAGGCAATTCTGAGAGAATTCTGGGAGCTGTAGTCCAGAAGATCCAAAAATCCCATCTCGAGGGATGACTTTGTGACAAGCCTCTTTTGTGGCCCCTGCAGAAGCTAGGAATCGGCTTGATCCTTGCCAGATGTTGCCATCCCTTGACCGAACAGCACAGGTTTCTACTAGGGACTGTCAAAATGGACCGCAGGTGGAATGGATGAAGAGAGACACCGTCCGTCCTGTGACTCAAAACAGTTGTCCTGGGATTAAAGAGTTATGCCAGGTTGGACTTTGTGGATAAGTCAAGCAGGTTCTTTTGAAAATGCCCTTTGAGGGATCCTTTGTGGATTGAGAAAGATTGCAGCGTTGCCCTTGTTGAGTCCCGTTGTATTCTGCACAGGGTTACCACATGTAAGAATTGACTTGAAAGCATGTAAGGACTCCTCAGGAAATTAGATTTCTTACGGCATTGGGAGGAAGTCCAGCTGTTGAATGAATGAATGTATGAATGAATAGGCACAACGCATGCATTTTGGTACAGAGGTTGGTAGCAGGCAAAGCATTTTTAATCATAACCATAAAAGAATTGCAAAGATCTGTTTACTTAATTCCCCTGACCAGGTTTTACAGTACGTACTCTGTGACGTTAAAAAAAAATTGAAACATTTTAGGAGCTTGTCTTGGCTAGTTAGAAAGGACTAAATGCACAAATTGCCTTTTGCTTTTGTGGGCCCTTCATTTCCTAGGCTGGCCATCAAAAACCGAGGTGGCAGCACATCTTGAAAATTAGGCCTTGGATGAACATTTCAATGGCAAGTTAGGCTGTAAGAGATAAAGAATGTCACAGCAATATTCTGCCAAACTCACATGGGGCCATAGCTCCACAATGACTGTTGAATTCCTTTCTCTTCCTTCAGAGGTTCCAGAATCACCTCTCGCTCCTGAAGTGAAAGACGTTTCTCCTGAGCCAGAGCCAGCCTTGAAACCGTCTGCAGACGCCGTGGGTCGAGAGGTAAGTTCATTTCTTTATTGCTTTTTTATCTTCTTATGTCGATACCCTGACATTTTGCTTTTAAAAAAAAGCTTTCAAAGTGGCTTGCAAATTCCTTTAAATAAGGAAAACAGATTAAAACCAAATTGAACTTTTAAAAAATCATATGATCAAGTAAACCAACCCACTGTAATAAAATACACTTTAAAATCAAGTAAATACTTAAAAACCTTCAAAGCCACAGAGGATGCCGTTTAAGTTCAACACAGCAAATCATGGGTCCTGCTGTCATCTGTGAAAACCCAAAGATTTGGCCAGAGACAAAACTGATCTGTGCGGCTTGCCAGTGGTTGTTAATAGTCCTCTAAGCTCAAAATGTTTTGTTTCAAAACTAAATTGAGTAAAAGCTTCACCTCAGATCAGGGGTGGTGGTGGTGGTGGACGGGAGACTGGAAGAATTGACTCAATTCTGCTTATAAAACACTGTCTGGCTTCTAGCTATTCCCGGTAAATAGACTTATTCTAAATGTGTCATCCTCTGTATATGTGCTTGAGAGTGCTTACGTTTGGTTTAGTATGCCCAGGTTCAACTCAGAAACGCACTGGACAGCCGGTCCAAGGAGTTGAAATGGAACAGTCAGCTTTTCCATTCTAACCAGTGTTACAGATTTTCCTCCAGTCAGTTTGAAGAAGATGCCCATCGATGCAACGAAACCAACCGTTCGACTTCTCTGTGTTCCTTTTCCTCACTCTTCCTCTTCCTCTTCTTTGTGTTTAGTTCTTGCAGATCAAACTAGTCGTTTAAAGGGCCAGCCTGCAACAGAACATGAGCAAATGAAGGAGGCAGCTTTTTACTGGGAATCCCACCATGCTCTGAAAGGTTACCCTAAGGAAGTCACTGTAAACAGTGATGACTTTTGAAAAGCTCTTTCTCACCTCATTTACTCACCAAAGTCGGGGGGGGGGTGCTGCCTTTGTTATCCTGACTAGAAGATGTGAAGGCTGCCAGTCATTCCTCCTTCCTTATTGTCTTCCCAGAGAAACCCAAAGGCCCTCTGCTCGAACCTTGTGCCTTGGAATGGACCATTTCTCCCTTCCCTTCTAGAGCTAGTTTTTAGGCTAGAAGGCAGGTGGTGCCCGCGGGCAAGACCCAGCTGGGTTGGAAACGTAGCATTGTGAGCTTCCAGCCACCAGGTGCAGTTCTTTGAGATTCCCTTCCTTCTTTCTCCCTTGTTTTACTCCTAGCAGAGTTTGGAATTGGCCTGTAAAGGCTTCTGACCAACGGGTCCATCTGAACGTGGCACCAGGGTCCTTTATTCTCACCCGCTGTGCTGTCTGTCCCCTTTCAGACTTCCTCGGGAGAAAAGAAGCGGAAACGTAAGCGGGTCCTGAAGTCCCGAACCTTTGTGGACGAAGAGGGCTGCATAGGTGAGCAGCCAGCGCGCTCCCCCCTCCCTTTGGGTGAAAGAAACCTTGGCCTATGTACCGGGTCAATGTTCACCGTTTGCAGAATCTGCCTGCAGTTGCGTATGAGGAAGAAAGGATCCTAGAGCAGGAAGCTTCTTTTTGTGCCACTATTGGAGACCAAGAGGTGTTTTGTTTTCTGCAGGGAAGCGAGAAGGCCTCTTGAGAGATGAGGCTAAAGTGATTCAAAATCACTGGTGTTCATAATGCAGCCCTTTAAAATAAAAGAGAAAGAAGAAGCCAGACCTGCCAGGAGCGCGGTCGACCCAGAAGGTGGTAGCGGCCAGTAGCAAAGATGTCCACGTTTGCACCCACCTTGGCAAATGTGCTGCCCTCCTCTGGGGAGGGGGCAGTAAGTGTCTGCCATTCCCACCTGGGATGGTGTTGTTTAAATTCCTCATTTCCTCGGAGGTTAACTGAGCTAGGAAAGGAGGGGAGCAGGATGGCGTTCCAAGGCCGGGAGGGTGACGGTTGCCGGTTTTGCTGCTTTGTAGCCATAAGCATTGGTCAGTGGCTTGCGTGGGGGTTCAGGATCGGGGTGGGGTGGGACTCTGGGCACCCCCGTTCCAGGCAGGCCCCCTTCGTCGGCTTGTTGCAGCTCTTGAAGGCGGCCCGCCTGTGTACAGAGAACCCTGCGGGGGCGCCTGGCCACTCACAAGTCCCTCCAGTTTCTAGCCCTGGGTTTTGTCAAGTTGAAAATGGTTTTGTGAAAGGTTTGGCTCCTCAAGTCTGGCTCGGTGCCTCTTTTTGCGAGGAGATGTGCTGCAGGGCCCAGATTCAGTCCAGGCTTCTCCGAAGGGAAAGGCGCTCCCCCCCTTTGCTTTCACCAGCCAACCGTCTCCTGCCAGCTTGCTTCCCGTAGCCAGCGCTTGAAATAACAAAGACCTTTCTTCCAACAAAAGATCTTTGGGGGCTTTTGTTTTTTAAGCTCGGGTTTCTCTAAACATGTCAAGACTGGGAAGCTTGCCGTTCCCCATTTAGAACTTGGATTAAATGGTCTCCTGTGGAAAGCTGACCTTCTGGGTTTACAGTCTAGCTCTGGCGAAGTTCGTCACGGAGTGGCTGCCGTTCTCGGGAAGCTTTTTTGGCAAAAGGCTCGAATGCAGGAAGGAAAGAACATGATGCACGGAGTCCCTGTCTTCTCTTCCAAGTTGCCGGTCCAAATGTTCCTTTTGCAGAACTGGGTGGGTGGACGGGGGGGAGGCGAAATTGACAAGTTTCGACACTTGTTCACCGAGGGTAAGGAAACGGGACATTTTGTAGTAGAGCCATCAAGGAAAAGCGGTTAAACTTTTGCACAGCCCAAGGATGGCTTTCTGGAGAACAGGAGAGGAAAGAGCGGGTTGGGGGGGCATCCGTCGTGGGCTTCGACGTCTTAGTGGACAAACCAAAGGTGGACCAGACATGGTAACGGCTTTTTCCCTTCCTTTTTTCTCAGTGACTGAGAAGGTTTACGAGAGTGAGTCCTGTACAGACAGTGAAGAGGAATTCCGGTCCAAGCCCCCGCCGGCTCACAAGCCCCCCGTGTCCCACCACCCTTCCCTCGGGGCTGCCAAAAAAGACTCCAAAGAGGAGAAGAAAGCCAGCAAAAGGGGGGCAGCCGCCCCCAGAGCCAACCGGCAAGCCTCCATCATGGGCTTTTTCCAGAAGAAATGAGCCTCAGCAGCCACGCGGTGCGCAGAAACGGCGATCTTGAAGCCCCTACGGATTGTGGAAGTGAGCTCTCTGGAAGTGGCCTGTGGAGCATGGGCTCGCCGGTGACAAGCCTTTCCTGCTGAACTGTGTCAGAGGCCGCTGCTGGAGAGGAGAGAGCCTTAAATCTCTGGGAACTGGCAGCACAGAGGCCTTTTAAATGTGAGATCTGTATTTCACATGGTATGTTTTTGTATTTTTTTTAAGACTGACCTTTTTTGAACCCTCTTGTCTTGGACAAACTCCACGGCTTCTCTCCTTAAGTCTGACCCATCAGATGTAGTTCAACATCCCCACAAACATAGGTCAGCCCCACCCATCCCATACTTAAGCCCTTTCCTTTCAATGGCGGTCGGTTCAGAATCCTTGACGGAGGAGCCTGCAGCGTGAGCTTAAGTTCACCCAAGTGCATCCCAGAAAGAAGGCAGAACACTGAGGCAGGATGTTCCACAGGACATTTCCAACAGCCTCCCTGAGTGAGACAAGTGCAAACTCCACCCCCGCCTCCCCTGGGCAGAAGGAGGCAGAGCCACTCCTTTTCCAAAAGCTAAAAGACCTTCCGTGAGCGGGCTGTTCTTCAGCGGCCTTTCCCCGGGCTGCTGGAGGCAACACAGCCCCACCATTTTGAGACCTCTCAGTGCCCAGCTCCTACCAATCAGTGGCCTGGCCCTCATCTTCTGTGTTGTAAAAATGATGTGTGGCCGCTTTTGGGGGAGGGAGGAGCTGACCTGCCCAAAACTTCCTGTTTTAATAAATTCAGTGTTGGCTACATGGGGTTGCAGCCGCTAGCAAGGCCAGGGGCCAACCCACCCCCTTGGCCTGTTCCCCAAATAAAGGGCGACGGACAGTCGCTAAACAGTACAAGCGTAACCCATTGAAAAGACCTTGAGGGGTGACAGAAGCTGCCAACTGCAGCGGCATTGAATGGAGGCAGCAGATTCCTGCAGCAAGAAACTTTTCAGAGACCTGGTCCCCCGTGCGAGGGGGTATCCTCTTTGGGATCGCGAGCCCCACTCGGCTGTGTCTGAGATGACTTTTGCAACGCCTGTGTCCTGCTTTTGCCCAAAACTGTGTTCCACGCAGCCCCGTATTTAGCAGGGAGCCTGTCCGATTTCACACACGCCTGGGCGTGCCTGGTTGCTCCCGACCATCATCTCTTTTCCTTCCCCTCACAGAGAAGCCACTTGGTAACGAGAAATGAGCCGTGAGCATCTCTGTGTGGGTGGTTCCTGCTCAAAAGAGGTCCTGTTGGAAACACGTGTTCTCTTTGACCTCTGTGTGTTCTCAGCTGGTGGTGACACATGAACGTTGGTTCACCATCCCACCTCTTCCTTGTTCATTGACTCTTGTCTTTCCCTCCTTGATGAATCGCCAGAATGGGATGGCATTGTTTAAATTCCTCATTTCCTCAGAGGTTAACTGAGCTAGGAAAGGAGAGGAGGAGCAGGATGGAGGCAGCTGTGGCACAACATGGTCTTTGTGTGTACGGGAGCCTCTCTCCTAGCCACCCCCTGGGGTTGGCTTAGCTCAGCCTGTGGAGTCGTGTCGTGTTCTGCCTCTTCGCTTCAGGCATACCCAAAAGACAGCCGCCTCGTAAGGGGTTTGCAGGTAGAGGTCCTCCAAAGTTGAATTGGTTTGAATGCTGGTGGCAACTTCTTAAAGCGGTTTCGTTTGCCTGTTAGAGGGCTTGAAGGTCAACGGTGAAACAATTTCCAAATTGGCGAATCGGTTGGAGCCCATTGCCTGAAATCTGAAAAAAAAATCACCACTTTGCCAATGTGAGAAAGAGTGTTCCAGCCCAAAGCTTGGAAGAGTTCAGTTTGCTGCATCCTCCAACTAGCCGATTCAAGGTGTTTTACCCTTTAAAAGTTCAATGTCCAGCCTTTGCGACGGAGGACTGTTGGCCCTCTTAAGTGCCGCTGACGCTCAACTCCACCTTTCTAGCCGAAGCTTTCCCCAAGCCCATGGGGTAAGGTTGAGTCAATGCAGAGCGCAGTCCAACAGCTGAATAGGGTGATTGGGGGTTCCTTTTTAAAGAGGTGGCCTCCATTGGAAACCTTAGTTTGGCTCTTTGCCATTGCCTACTTCCCCCTTTCCCCCACCCCTCCTTGGGCATCTTCTTTTTTGTATCTTCAGAAGTTTAAATTTAGAGTGGGGTAGGGATACCAAATAAAGACATGTTCTTCTCATACCTTGTTGTTGTTTAGTCGCTAAATTGTGTCCAACTCTTTGTTATCCCCCCATGGACCAGAGCACGCCAGGCCCTCCTGCCTTCCACTGCCTCCTGGAGTTTGGTCAAATTCATGTTGATAGCTACGATGACCCTGTCCATCTCATCCTCTGTCGTCCCCTTCTCCTCTTGCCTTCACATTTTCTCTCTTGCCTTCACATTCTTCTCATACCTTATTTTTTTTCCTTGATCTTTCATGTTTCGTGTCGAACCATTTGTTCTTTATTCCTGTTGATCGGCTGAAATCCTGTCTTTGAGCTTTGAAGGTTTCTCATCCAGCTGAAGTCTTTGAATGACAGACATCCCCCTGATCAGCGGGTGCTCCGATGCACATGTATCTTCTCACAGGTGTGTGGGTCAACAGCTAGGAATTTCAGACAGAACTGTCCTGCCTTTCCTACCTTGGCCTCAGCCTCAAGAAATGGGTAGATGCCCTACGAGCCAGGCTCACTGTGGCTTTACGGGTGATGGCACCCCATCCTCTCAGGAGGCCTGATGATAACTCCTGCTCAGGGAGGGATGAGAGACCACCAGATGTTTAAATAAAGCCAGCAATATGGCAGGGGGCCCTGGCATATAGCAAGTCCCCTAAAGTTTTGTGGTGTTGAGCCCATCCTGGCGCAGTTCTACAGCCAGCTTGTTATTCCAGTGCTAGAGAGCAGGAGATAAATGCCTGAGCCAGAAGTACAGAACCAGCCACTTCCACCTCGGAACCTTCCAGACGTGTTTGACTCCTGTGGGTGATTAAAGCATGGTAAGAGTTGCAGCCTCCAACACATTCGGGGGCATCAGGCTGAGATGCTGAGCGGCAGTTCCTTATGCTACCTGTGCATTCTCGCTCTTTCCCTATGGCTCTGATGAGACCCGAAGTGTGTGTGCTACCGTTTTGACTCCCCACAGGATTCGGGGGCATCAGGCTGAGATGCTGAGCCACAGTTCCTTATGAGGGACCCAAGCCTGCAACCTGCGCGCTCTCGCTCTTTCCCCATGGCTCTGATGAGGCTGGAAGCGTGTGCGCTACCGTTTTGACTCCCCACAGGTGGCAACTACAGTTTACGCAACCAATCTGCAATTAACCTTGCTGGCTCGTGCGGAGAAACCACACTTCAGCTCTGGCGTGGGTGTAACAAAACGGCTGAGCATCGAGGCCAGTGGTTCTGTCTCACAGCTGCCTGGGAAGGAGCCGCATAGCTGTGGGTATGAAGGCCTTGCTCCAAATGTTCATTGTAGGATTCAAATCTGACCCAAGGTTAAGAACCAGTGAACTAGAGTTTACTCAAATCAACCAATCTGCACTTAACCTTGTTGGCTCGTTCAGAGAAACCACACTTCAGCTCCGGCGTGGGCATAACAAAACAGCTGGCTGAGCATCGAGGCCAGTGGTTCCATCTCACAGCTGCCTGGGAAGGAGCCGCGTAGCTTTGGGTATGAAGGCCTCGCTCCAGATGTTCATTGTAGGATTCAAATCTATAGGAACTTCCCTCATGGAGAGGAGGTGGCTCTGGAAGAGTGGGAGATGATGGGAAGTCCCTTCTGGACAGGGTGTGTCTTTGGGTTGCCATTGTGGCACCTTCCTTTCACCACGCACACCCTGGGGGTGCTTTAGGGTTGGTGAACTCAGCATCCTTCTGTAGAGCAGTCAAAAAACAAAGGGGGTGGATGTGCTCAGCTGTGTGGTCCTTTTTAAATTATTCTGGCCTCTCTCAGGGTCTGTGAGCAAGACTCCCAGCTCAGCAGCATTGAGGTTTGCACACACTTAAGGTTCTGCATTTAATCCCTGGCATCTTCAAGGTGCTAAAGCAGTGGTCCCCAAATGTTCTCGGACTGCATCTCCAGAGTTTCTGGGGGTTGTCGTCCAAGAACATCCGGAGACCCAAGGCTGGGAAGTGCTGATGAAGGAACCGGCCTGAAGGGAAGCCGGGGAAAGTACTGCCAGAGCAGACTGTTGCAGCCAGACGCGAACCCGTTGTTCTCTTTGCAATAGGGAGTCCCATCTTGGGTTTGGCAAATTTGCCTTCTTTAAATTCCCCAACCAGTCTTTAGTAGTACTTGCCTATTTTTCTGTGTATAAGATGCCCCCATGTATAAGACGCCCCCCCCCCACTTTTCTAACCCCAAATTAAGAAATCTAAGTGGGGCTTAACAAGTGTAGGGGAAAAGGGATCAAAGCGCTGCAGGATTGCTTTGATCCCTGCTTTCCCCTCCACTTCTTTTTGTTCTTTCCTCAGCTTACTTCTGTGTATAAGACGACCCTCAATTTTAAGTCTAAATATTTTAGACAAAATAGTCTTATACATGGAGAAATATGGTATCTTATTTTTAGCATCCCTTGGCCAAACTCTTGCTGTGGCTTCATGGTAGCATGCCCTATGCCAGTTCCCCAACTGAGCTTCCTGGCACCTTTGGCCAGTCAGCGGGAGCCCCGCGGAAAACCTTTGCAGCCCTGTTGGATAGAGGATTGTGGTAAAATTAGGCATCCTCCAGTCTCGAGAGACTATGGTATCCTGCTCTGTATGGAGGACTTGGAACTGTGTCTGGTATAGCTGAGAAGGCCAATTTGAGAATGACAATCCCTCCCAATCCTTTCTAGCCACCTAGAGTGGTCACATCGACCAGATGGGTGGGATACAAATCAAATACACTAAATATAAAATTCCACACTGAAGACAAGTACAATCTGTCTCCTGTCCAGCTCCCTGCTTTTGCTGGTTTCGGGACTGCCTCTTTGCCTCGGCCTGCTGGACAAGGGTCTCTTCAAATTGGGAGAGGCCGTGATGCACCGCCTGCCTCCAGGCTAAACACTCAGAGGTCAAGGTTTCCCATCTGTGGAGGTCCATTCCTAAAGCCTTCAGATCCCGCTGGCAGATCTCCTTGTATGGCACCCCTCTGGGGCGATTTCCCTGCACTCATTCTCCATCCAGGAGATCCTTTGCAATCCGACCATCAGCCATTCTCACGATATGCCCAAGCCAACATAGATATCACTGTTTCAGTAATGTATACATGCTAAAAAATGCCAGCTCGTTCTAGGACTACTCTGGAACTTTGTCCTGCCAGGTGATACCAAAAATCCGTCGGAGGCAACGCATATGGAACGTGTTCAGCTTTCTCTCCTGCCATGCATAAAGGGTCCAGGACTCGCTGCAGGACAGGAGTGTGCTCAGGACACAGGCTGTATAGACCTGGATCTTGGTGTATCTGCCCTCAGCTTCTTATTGAGCCCTACTCTCTTTGTGAGTCTAGAGAACATGGTAGCTGCTTTGTCAATGCATTTATCCAGCTCGACCTCTGGGGAGGGAGTGTTGGAGATTGAGCCAAAAGTCGCTTTGTCAATGCATTTATCCAGCTCGACCTCTAGGGAGGGAGTGTCGGAGATCATTGAGCCAAAAGTCTAAAGGTCTCTTGCATGCTCGGGGCATTTCAGCCCAGAGTTACTCCCTGCAGGGTGCCCCTGAGCATGTGGGGAGTTCCTTCAAAGGAAGCTAGCAGCTTAAAGCAATTAGTAAAATGTCTACTAACCAGCGAGGGTCAGCTGCATTTATCCAGCTCGACCTCTAGGGAGGGAGTGTCGGAGATCATTGAGCCAAAAGTCTAAAGGTCTCTTGCATGCTCGGGGCATTTCAGCCCAGAGTTACTCCCTGCAGGGTGCCCCTGAGCATGTGGGGAGTTCCTTCAAAGGAAGCTAGCAGCTTAAAGCAATTAGTAAAATGTCTACTAACCAGCGAGGGTCAGCTCCCTGGTGTTTCCCCCCGGGAAGGAAAGTTTGGCTTTCTCATGAGCAGGAAGGTCAGGCCGTGTGGCTGCTTGAGAGGTTTGGCAAGGCCTCCGAATTAACCTCTGGTTATGATATCATGAGCGAGGGGGATAAAACCTCCATCGCAATGTGGAGAGGCTAATTGCAGGTTGGCAGCCGCTAAAGCCCACGCTGGGAGCAGCAGCAGCAGGTGGGTCTCTGGGAGCCAGGATTGACGTACGTGGACCGTGGTGCCACGGGACCCACCCTCGGAGCAGCGAGACCTCTGGCCGGTCGGGCATGAGGCACTTCGTCAGGGCAGGACGGAGAGCTGAGGTCAAACGTCGGGTGCGCTGGGTCACATCCAGCCCGTTGGGGCTGACAGAAGGTCAGCGGTGACGTTGATGGGCAAAAGTCGGCCTTTGAGCCAGGCCCCGGTGACGGAAGAAGGAGCAAGAAGTCAAGACGATGAGAAGCCGCCGGGAAAAATATAACCAGTAGTTATTCAAGAAACTGAAAATATTTCAGGCCACACTTTCCAGGCCCTCCAGAGATATGAACTGGTTTTGTCACCATCTTTTGCTTTAGTTGTTTTTTTAATATGTATAGCTAGTTTCGAGGGAGGTCTTTTTGTTTAATGTTTTAACTTTGGCTGGTTCTTGAATTTGTATTTACAGTGGTGCCTCGCTTAACGAGTGCCTCGCTGAGCGATGAAATCGCTTAACGAGGCACTCTGGGCCATAGCTGGAGAGGTCAAACGTCGGGTGCGCTGGGTCACATCCAGCCCGTTGGGGCTGACAGAAGGTCAGCGGTGACATTGATGGGCAGAAGCCGGCCTTTGAGCCAGGCCCCGGTGACGGAAGAAGGAGCAAGAAGTCAAGACGATGAGAAGCCGCCGGGAAAAATATAACCAGTAGTTATTCAAGAAACTGGAAATATTTCAGACCACACTTTCCAGGCCCTCCAGAGATATGAACTGGTTTTGTCACCATCTTTTGCTTTAGTTGTTTTTTTAATATGTATAGCTAGTTTCGAGGGAGGTCTTTTTGTTTAATGTTTTAACTTTGGCTGGTTATTGAATTTGTATTTACTTCTTTCTTGATGTTTTGGTGGTAAGCCGCCTTGGGTCCTTTCACAGAGAAAGGTGGGGGGTAAACAAACAAACAAATTATCCACTTTCCCCGTTTTCTTCTATTCCTCTGTTTCTGCCCCTTCTAAACTTGTGAAG